AGATTCCGAGGGCAATGACCCCTTCTCATTGTATCACATTGCAGACATACTCCGGGCTTTTTTGTGTTGTTGTCAATCCGTACAAACGACTCCCTATCTATACCGATTCCATCGCGGAACAATACAAGGTCAGTTTCCTGAGTAACGTCCAAATAACTCGATGGTATAACTTTTACTACGAACACAGTGAACGTTTCTATTATGTAAGAGGATTAAGTTGTTTGTGTTAGTATTTTATGTGCCTGTATTTCGAGGTTGACATATGGAGGTTTTACTGAAGTGGCCTAGAAGGCCTAGAAGATGAGGCGCTCGATGGCTCAGAGCGTGAATTTGAACTTTGAACCATTTTTGAGTTTCCGAAGACGACATTTCTTGAGACGTTAGGTCACTCATAGTTTGTGACTGTGGACAGCGACTGCTTTGCCGGCGATAGCGCGCCAAAGGAATTTTACGGGTATCGAAAGGCGCCGGCCCTAGCGATTGCGGAGGTCCGACAGTCGGGAAGATTGAGCGATGTAGCGATTCGAGAGACTCGGCAATCCGGCGTTTTGGGGGCTGAGTCTCGAATTGCCGGATTGCTTAGTTTCCCATATCCCGGATCTCCCCACTCGCAAAGTATGAACATGGTCTGGATCCTTCATCGAAGTTTGGGCCACTTCAGTAAGAGTTCCATGTCCCATCCTCGACAGGCTCATAGGGTATTAATGGAGATGACAGCCAAAGATGCCGAGGTGGATAGGAAAGAGACGCTGAATGGTTTCTGGAAGTATTCCTGAGCATCCCCCATCCTGTGTTCTGAGTATCTACGGGGTTACTTCTACTGTTATCGTTTTGGTCCAGACCAGACATCTGACGCCAATTAATTACCTTCAGGGAAAGAAGAGAAAAGAGATGCCACCTCATATTTTCGCCGTCACTGACGAAGCGTACCGCAGTATGCTTCAGGATCGAGAGGACCAGTCCATTCTTTGCACGTTCGTAACTATCTTGTTTTTTCCTATGATTTTTATCAATGGTTTTTATTATTTACAATTCAGGGGTGAATCAGGCGCTGGGTAAATACGGTCAGAAACACAGAAGAAGGTGTATCAATATCTTGCTCACGTGGCTGCACCTAGGTCAAGCAACAATAAGGTACTGTCGCTTTGCATGGCACTTTTATGCTGGCTATTCTACCGTGCACTTCAGCGTGTTGGAAACAACAACGGCCAGCCCAGTTCAGATCAATCACGACTTGTGGTGCGTGTGAACACGGAACACTAGGCATTTTTTTAAGGAATATCAAACCTGAATTTGATCGCTTTCTTATTATTCCACCTGTTTTGCATTTGAATTCAGAATCTCTTTCTCGATTTGATCTTATTGAACTTCAAAAACTTTCAATCTGGTCTTATTGAACTCTTAGCAGCTGGCGGGAACGATCATAGCGGTCTGCTCTGGTGGCTGCAGTCTTGGGCTGCGGATGATGGGGTGTGTCAGGCGTTATGAGTTTGAAACCCGTTCTCCGCCAGTTTTTGAAGCCAGTAAGCGGCAAGACTGCACACCGTTCGTAACGGTCGTTGTCCACCAATTATTGTCGTTTACATGCTTCAGCAGCTGGTGGGAAAGGGGTTTAGCGCCGCGCCAAACGCAGCCGAGCTGACACACCCCGTCATCCGCAGCGAAGAAGCTGTACCTAGCACAGATTAGGCCCCGTCCATACCTTGCAATAGTGGAGAATCGGTGAGTCGCAGAATCAGATGAAGCAGCGTATTCCGGAAATTCCGAGAATTTGCTGAAAGATTAGGCACGTACCGATTGACTACGCCAGTTGGAGAATGATACGTGATCAATCAGTAAGTGTCCGATTTATTTACGTATTCTCCGATTCTTTAGTGTTGCAAGGTGACCTTCAAACACGGCTTCAGAGGGATCGGTGTGTAGGTCTTCTCTGTGCCCGTTACAGTTTCTTGCGTTTGCCCTGCAACCAAAAACCTTCACTTCTAATAACATACCAGTAGCTCAAACTAAATGTCGGTTACTATCAATATTTATGCGCATTTCAGGGTCGTCTGGAAGAGCAGCTCCTGCAAGCGAATCCTATCTTGGAAGCTTTCGGAAATAGCAAAACAATCAAGAACGACAATTCGTCACGTTTCGTAAGTCTTTTACCATGATTTCTTTTCGTTGTTTTTCGTAGAAGTAGCTGGCTGCAGTCATACCAGTAATTGGCAGCATTGTTTTGTTTTATTGTATTGAAACATAATGCCATGCATGTATGAGCCAAGAGCCAGGAGAGGAGCAAGACAAGTCCTCTGATACCGAAACCACAGTGTGACGTGAGCTCGTTCTTCGAGGGCAGTATACCTGCAGTCATGTTCACTGAGGATGCTGGGCGGGCTGGAAGCAGGGTACGCCATCGTTGTGATCATCACAAGGGGAGGGGGGTGAGGAAGGACAGAGGGCTGGGAGGGGGGTCGTACCAACTCCCAAAAAGGGGGTCGTATTTTAGTATGGAATTAGGGGGGTCGTAATTTTCAGAAAATGATCACAACGCGATGGCGTGCCTTAGCTGGAAGGCTAGCTTTGGCGGGGAGCCAAGGCTTGCCAGCAAAACATGGTACAAACCAAGAGCAAGACATTGGGCCAGACAAGTCCTCTCACACTGTGACTTCCGTGTGACGTGATCCTGTTTATCGATTTTTATGTACGTACAATCCTGTTCACTGCAGATGCTAAGGCGTGTCAGGGGCTATATTTGGCGCGCTGCCAGCCCGTTCCCCTCCACCTGTTAGAGCAAGTAAGCATCCATATTTGGTGGATAACTGGTGGCGCCGCGTCATACCCAGCTCCTTGACACGCCTCGGCGTCCGTAGGGAAAAAGAGTGTAGCTATATGGCAGATGGGCGAGGGTACCATGTGATTTTGTGGGTTTGTAATTATTGACAGCTGACCATGTGGTGGTATGTATTGTTACCTCCAACCACAAAATTTGCGGAAAAATCTCCCAGAAAATCACTGATTGGGCAGATACATTAATCAGTGCATGTCTAGTGCTTTGCGGAGATTATGTGGTTCTCCAAATCTTACAGAACGCTGAGTATGAATGCCGATTAACGCTTCTTTCGTCTCCTCCTTTTACAACGTCTCGCTTCACGGACGTTGTAAAAGGGGGGGGGGTCTTGCTCCTTGTTGGGAGGGGGAGGAAGTCGTATTTACTATCTGGAAAAAGTGGTAGGAAGTTGGGGGTGGGGTGGGGGGAAGTGGCAGGAATTTGGGGAAAATCCGAGAATTGGTAGAAGGGAGGGGTCGTAGTGTCTCGCGGTTTTTCCTGTTTCATGCGTACTATATACCCCCACGCTCGACGACTCGATTCGATGAGGAGGGGCAGAGGACCGGAGGGAGACCCGGAGTCCGTACGACCCCTCCCCCTCTTCCTTGGGGGAGTACCAAACTCCCTCCCCCAAAAGAGGGGGAGGGGTCGTACGGACTCGACTAAAAACTCCAACCAATGATGTACCCTGTTCTTCCTACAGTGATCATTTCACAGCCGCTGGCCCTGTTGCAAAGTCCTTCACAGTAATGTGTGAAAGGTCTTATTCTTCTAGACGGCCAACGCAGAAACCCACTCGTTCATATGCGTTTTAGGAGCCGCTAGATTTCCTCTCGAAGAAGTTGTGTGTTCTGTATGTTATACGAAATTGTGGATGGTTTTGGACTTTTAAGGGGAAATTCATCAGAGTTCATTTCGACGCGGCTGGCGCGATCGATCGAGTTCTACCTCTTGGAGAAGTCTCGCATCCTCAGACAATCTGCTGACGAACGTTGTTTTCATATCTTTTATCAACTTCTCAAAGGAGCTACTATCGATCAACGTGGTAAGCGCCTTTGCTTTTTCCTCGAAATTTTCATTCGTAACACTCAAAAAATATGCATTTAGGTGCGCTTCTGCTTGAGCAAAGTCCAAATAACTATAATTTCCTCTCCAACGGCGATATATGGCATACCAGGTGTTGAAGATGCTGGAGAATTTGAAGAGACTATGCGA